GACCAATTCCAACCCCCACCCGCCTCCCTGTGCAGGGCTGCTGTGCGTATATAAAGGCTCTGCAAATACCGTGCTCACTAGGTCAATATCCTCCCTCTTCAGGCTTACCCCACCCCGGGGGGACTGATACCCAAGACCCCCACCCCCACGTCACGCAGCTGTTCATGAGAATAGGTTTATAAAGACAGAACTGGCTCAGTTCCCACCTCATTCCTCCTCCCCCTACAAGGTGAGCAGTGTCCCTTTCATTAGGCCACATGCAAGGGCCACACCCCCACAGGAACTCAGGTGTCTGACTCTCACTTTGGCCCCCTTACAAACAGAACCAAAGGTACTGGGGGCACAAAACCTAGGCCAGAGGGCGCGTTGCTCGCCTAGGTTTTGCAAGAAGTGGCTGTCGGGTTTCTGAGGCCTGGGGACACGCCTTCCAGGGGTGCCCAGGGCCCAGCACCCACATCCCCCTGGGCGTTACATCCGGACTGCGAGCCCATGTGCTGCCTCCCTGACCCACCCCAAGTTGGGGCCATGAATTCAGCAGAGCCTCGTGTGCCTTTGTGTCCCCAAAATGCCTTGTCCCGGAGGAAGGCCAGCAAAGCCACTTAGAAAGTAAGGGAGGGAAGGGTTACATCCTCCATGCCTCTCTAGACGGCCCTGGCCTGCTCAAAACACCCTTCTCACAACACCCTCCCAGCCACTGCTGCTTTCAAACGAATACACCCCCAGGCAGGCAGGGCTGGCATTACTCTTCTCGTTTTATAATAAAGGAACCCAGAGAAGCTGCGCGATTAGATTGAGGCTCCTCCACGTTCCTGACCTCAACTAAGACCCACGCTCCCCAGGGTCCAGATGGGAACTCTGCGAGGTGGGAGTAGGGCCACAGGGCAGGGGGCAGGGCTTGAAAAGTCCAGACTTCCAAGAGGTGTCACATGCAGCAGGCGGTTTCCCCTCTCTGTGCCTCAGTCTCCTCACCTCAAAAATGGGAGTGAGGACACTGGGTCTGGCATCTCTAAACTCGCCCTTCGCTTATTCTCACAGTGCTTCAGGGCAAGCTGGGAAGCAGCTGGGGAACAACTCCACAAGCTACCCCACCCCCACCCCCACCCCACCCCCGGGCAGCTTAAGTCCAAAGGAGAGAAGGCATCTTGAACCAAGGCCATGAGGGGGCTGCAGGAGCTCTGTGCCAGGAGTCTCTAGAAGGTGCCAAATGAACTTGAATCTTCAACTCCGGACCTTCAGAGAGCAAGCTGGGCAAGGAAAACACAGGCCTGGAAAAAACCCATGCTAGGGACACGGAACGCTGCGTTCCCCTGGCTCATCCACTAACCAGCCTTGTGGCCTTGACCCCTGCGCCCCCACTCCGGGTACCTCGGTCTCCCTTCTGCCTGATGTGACCTTTCAGGCCCTCCAGCTCAGTGAGTGTTGGAAACAGCTTTCCAGTTCTCTTCCTCCAGGCACAGACAGGAAGAGACATTTTCAACAAGTTAGGCAACACATTGCACAGGAGTTAGATGCTGCAGAGGCATCCTGACCAAGGGCAGAGCCACTGCCCCAGGAGGTGCCAGCCACCCTGAAGGCTCAGGCCACCTGGCCATGAGAGGCCCCAAGACCACCGAGGTCCAGGACGCCAGCAGGGGTGATGGCAAGACCTCTGAGGTCTGTTAGGGGGATCTAGAATCTGCCTTTCCTCTCCTGAGACTACCCTCACCCCCTGCAGTATAGAACCTCCCACAGCAGAGGGAGCACGCATGTGCCATCTCCCTGCTGATGCCTAGGGAGGGGGCTCCCTCTTGACCCTGCAAGGTGGGGGTGGGCAAAACAGCCATGCATGCTGGTTTAGGTCGCTGGTTTGAAGCGAGACAGCACTGGATTCGGATCTTGACTCTGCCATGTAACTGAGCGAGTAACTTCATATCCTGGCATCTCCGTTTCCTCCCCTCTCAGATGGGGACATGACGCCTTGTGGGATGAGATAATGTGATGTCGCATGCTCAGCATGACATGCAGATGCTGCTGTAGCTCTGCGGACGGGCTGCAGCTGTCTGGAAAGGTCAGGGGGCCTGGGAGAGCTGGAGAGGGTGGTGCGGGGGGAAGGACATTGCTGATGTCTACAAGGGTTTCTGAGGGACAGAGAGGCCTCTGTACAGTGATTCATGTGTTGGCTCACGGACACGCCTTCGGGCATGTGGGGAGCTAGTGCCTGGTGTGGATGTGGGTGGATATGTCACCTGTCACCTCTGCTGATGCCACCCTATACAGATGCTAGGCCTGTCAGCACAGGACTATGGGACCGCCTCTGGAGGTCCGCATGCATCAGAGCGGAAAAAGCCTTTAGGTTTGGCTATGTCCTCTCATTTTACAGATGGAAAAACTGAGGCCTACACAGGAGGTCCCGAGGGCGAAACCTGCAGAGGGTCCCAGACATCCTTATTCCCCACCCTTCCATCCGGCATTGTCCTCCAGGGACCATCCCACCCACTGGGACACCTACCTACGGCATCTGGCTCTGGCTCGGTGCCCAGGTACCGCCCTTGGGTCCGTGAATCCACCAGCTGGAACCTCTTAGATTCAAGGTTCTCCAGCACCTGCTCGTAGGTCTTGAGCAGAGAGCGGTCAAGTGTGGCTTTGAAGACTGCGGGCTCTGGGCGGGAGGGCTCAGATGTCACCGGGTGGCCCTCCTTCAGCCAGTTCCGGAAGCCACCATTGAGCACCGACACCGTGCGGTGGCCAAACACACGGAACATCCACCAAATCCGAGGCGCATAGAAGCTGCCCAGGTGGTCACCGTCATAGACCACCACGTGTGTGTCATTGCTGATGCCCAGGTGGCCCACGTAGTCAGCGAAGCGCGCCTCGCTGGGCAGCATCATCTCGTAGGGTGAGGACTTGTCCTTGCACTCCTCTATATCAAAGAAGGAGGCGCCGGGCACATGGCACTCCAGGTACTCCTTGCGGGCGTCCCGGGTGCCAGGCGAGTACCAGGACCCGTCCAGCACCCTCAGGCTAGGCCCCAGCTTTCCAGCCCGGACGGACTCCGCCAGCCCTGGTGGAGATGGCTCCGCTCTGCGCTCCACCTGGCGCGGGTGGGAACCGGGAAAGAGACGGGCGTGAGGACCCTGTGTTCAGCGCGGTGGGGCCTGGGAGGAGCTTTTCCCCTCCGAACCCTCCAGGGTGGGGTGTTTACAGCCACCCAGGGGCTGGGGCGTGCAGTGGGACCTGTCGGCAGATTCCCCAAGGAAAGCCTCACCGCCCCGGGGTCCCTTACGGAAGAGGGTGGGGCAAGAGCTTCGGAGGGCTGGGGGGTTGAGGGGGTGGGGTGGGGGGAGCTGGCCCTAGAAGCTACAATACTTGCCCTCAGGACCCTGCCGAGAAGAAGGGTGAGAAGATGCCCAGGATGGGGGAAGATGGCATCGTGGGCTGAGAGCCCCCTTTCCAGTGAGG